TGTAAACCATGTATGTAAGGATTAAAATTTAATAAAATTCATGACTTTAACTGGGGTTTTTTGTTTGTTTGTTTGTTTTTGGGTTGTTTTTTTTTTTTTTTTTTCCGGTACTGGGAATCGAACTAAAGACCTTATGCTTGCCAGGCAGGCGCTGTGCCACTGAGCTAAATCCCCAGCTCCTTTAACTGTTTTTTTAAAGAATGTTCTTAAGTCAATTGCCTTAAACAACCACAAATCATATGTGGTGGTGAAGAAACAATGACTGCCACTAGTGTAACACTGCATTGTTTCTGTTTAGTGTGCTAGGGTTATAGGCCTGCACCGCAGGCCTGGCTCTGTTTCATGTGTAGTTGCCAGCAGTTCTACTGTCCATAGCTTTTGCCCTGTTATTATGAATGTCAACATAAAGAAAAAGGCAAATAATGTTCCTATTATGAAAATAGTTATAAACCCCCGAAAGGGTCCCTGGACCATTTTTTGGGAACTGTTGCAGAAGATATGCAGATATTTGAGTGAGAAATGATAACCACCATGTTTTTGTCCGTGTTCTCCTTGCTCTTTCATAATATTATTGTTCGTTATTTTCCTTCTTCCCCTTTCTTCTGTTGGCCCTGATATTTTGCATTCTATTTTTATTCTTCTGTTAGCTGAATTAAGCATTTATTGTGTTTGCTTTCCTTAAAGTATAAAGTTAATCAGAGTCTCTGTTCTTTTTATGGAACAAACAGATCTTAGAATACTTTATCCTTGCTCTTTTTTTTTAGTATTTTAGTTCCATATTATTAAGAAAAAATTTTAAATGTATACAAAAGAAAATTAAACAATAAATTTGTGTTCATTAACCACTAACATTTATTTACTATTGCTTCACTTAGACCTTTTTCCTTGCTGAAGATATTTTTAAATTTTAACTTACAGTGGTACCTTGGTTCACAAGCTTAGTTCTCTCTACAATTCTGGTTGTAAATGCATGAGAACCGAATCAAATTTCCCCATAAGGTCAACGTTGAACCCAATCATTGAATTTGATTTAGTTCTCATCCAGCTTGGCTTGCGATCAGAATCTTGGAAAGAATCAAGTTCGTGAACCAAGGTACCACAAACCCCATGGTTGGACTCAATTTATCTCACATTATTTTGATAAGCAATCAGTCTAAAGCATTAATAAGATATTTGGCTTTTTAAAGTTAACATCTAAAAATGTGTATGTATTTTGTATTTATACCGTATCTCAATGTGGACAGCCCACATTTTGAGTGTTTGATAGCTACATGTAACTTGTGGTAACCATTATTTGGCATCAACAGCTTTAGAAATTAGGTCAATAAAGAATCGATGTATATCATGTACAACTACAATATCTGTATGATGATTGTGATTATTATGTATATCTAAAATGTGCCATTAAACTTAACTTAAAATAAAGAAATTAAGTCGGTAATAGGAGCGATTGGAAGATACTGAAAAGGTAAATTTCTGTTTGGTGTAAGAAATTACCTTCTTACAACTGGAGCTGATAGACAGTGGCGTACATCTTCTTAATAGGTTCTGTGGAAGTATTCATTGTCATTGAAACTATTTAAAAACCAGTCAAAGAAGTACTATGTCAACATTGAAAAGGACTTTTTTTTTTTAAAGTCAGACTCCTTTATTAAAAGTAATATGTGCTGAGCTGCTTGTGGTGGCATACACCTGTAATTTCACCTCCTTGAGAGGCAAGAGGATCACAAATTTAAGTTCAGCCTGGCCAACTTAGCAAGATCCTGTCTCAAAATAAAAAAAGGAACTGGGGACGTAGCTCAGTGTTACAGCGTCCCTAGGTTTGATTTCTGGTACTGTAAAAACAAAACAAAAAAAGCTTATATAAAAGTTGAAATAATACACGAGAATATAAAATTAAAAATTGTAAGTTCTCCCACCTACTTACTATATAGGTATGTCTGCCTACTTTCACACAGGTGGAATCATGGTATGTAAAGTTCATAGTATTTAATTTTATGTATATGTGATACTTTATTTGACCAATCGCGTGTGCTTCATTCTTAGTGAAGTTTGGTTTTTTGTTCTTATCTTTATTTTGTCTTTTTGAGACAGGGTCTCACTGTGCAGTACAGTGCAGGGCGGCCTTAAACTTACTTTGTAGCCCAGGCTGGCCTCAAGCTTACAGCCATCTTCCTGCCTCGCCTCCCAAGTCCTGGGATTACAGGCTGCACCACCATGCCCTGCACTAGATTTTTAAAGCAAATATTAAATATTTCATTTTTATAGTGGGTTTGTATATAATTCTAGGAATGTGAATTGTAGCCAGGTATGGTAGCGTACACCTCTAACCCACAGTAGTGGAGAGAGGCTGAAGCAGAAGGATTACAAGTTTGAGCTCCACCTGGGCAATTCAGCGAAATCATGTATCAAAATAAAAAAGAGCTAGGGATGTGGCTTACTGATAGAATGCTACTAGGTTTAATCTCCAGTACTACCAAAAAACCCCAGAAATACATGTCTTCCTGTGTGTGCTTCCAAGAGTACTGTGATTATAGATGTGTCTAACTTCCTACCCTCTTTTTATGACACTGACTGGATTGGAAAAACTGGGTCTTTTGTCTGGTAGAACGTTCCATGTTCTGGATTTCTCACTGTTTTTTGTTTGTTTGTTTGTTTTGGTTTTTGGGGGTTTTTTTGGTACCAGGAATCGAACTCAGAACCTTGTGCTTGCCAGGCAGGTGCTTGTGCTGCTGAGCTATATCCCTGGCCCTGCATTTCTCACTGAAATTGTCATGTGCTTTAAATTTCTCTTCTAGTGTCACTTCTTTATCCCTTGCATTTCTGTAAATTTAAGGTAGCTCTTTTAGCTGTGTTACCCCATACTAGCTTTTTAAATTGATAGATTTCTAAAAATGCAGTTCCTTAATTACACTAGCTACATTTCCAGTGCTCAAGAGCCATATACAGAATATTTGCACCATCATAGGAACTTCAGTTGGATATTGCTGATCCAGAGGCTTAATTAGATTCAAAGTCAATATTTTTGGCAAGTATACTTCAAAGACAATATTGTATTTAAAAAAAAATGTATTTACTTATTATTATTGGTTTTTTTTGTGTATGTGGTACTGGGGATTGAACCCATGGTCTTGTGCATGCAAGGCAAGAGCTCTGCCACTGAGCCACATCCTCAGCTCCTACTGTATTACTTTGTATCAGAAGGGACATTATTTGGTTGTCCCACTTCTACCATTAGGATTAGGTGGTATCACCTTGACCCTTGCATTGCATAGTTTCTGACAATGTTAACTATGAAGAGAGAGTTTTTCTTCTTCCTTTGAGATCTTTAGTATCTTTTTCTTACTTTGTTACATTGATTAAAATAGAAATGTTTCATGTTAATATTCTTAATCCTGAGCAGAAATTAATCTTTCAGTATATTGTCCGATAATTGTCACATTTTATAGATGCTCCTTTTCAGGTTGGTCAAATTCTTACTTGTTCTGCTTGCTGTGCCTTTTTATATGAGTAGGTGTTGAAGCTTGTGAATTTTTCTATATTTATTAGGATAATACAGTTTTTTCTTTTATATTAATGTGATATTGAATAATACTGATTTCCTTTTTTGTTTTTTTTTAAGGCAGGGTCTCACTAAATAGTTGAGGCTGGCAAACCTCCTGCCTCAGCACCTCTCCTCTTGCTGGGATTACAGGCGTGTGGCACCACGCCCAGTTCAAGATTTCCTTTCTAATGGGATACTTTACATTCTTGAGATCAACTCCATTTGGTCATTATGTATTATTATTTTATCTTTCTTGGGTTGAGTTGTTACTATTTTGTTAGTTATTTACATGTGTTAATGATTTACACCTGTATTCTTGAGATAGCAGTTTATGGTAAATAATAAGTAAATATACAAATAAAAAGTATCAAGTCAAAAACTGAATGCTTAAAACTGTATCTCACCATCTTTTAAAATAGTTCCTTAGCATAAAAAACACTTTATATATATCATGTATATATCAGTATTTATGAGTTTGAATACTAAAAGCACTTTTAAACTCCCAAATTATTACATTTTGCATCAAATTATGAAGAAAAGGTTATTGTAGACATTTCTCATTTCTTCTTACTCTCTCGTGCTTTCACTCTCACTCTTCTTCTCTCTGCCTCCCTGTCTACCTGCCTGTTTACCTACAGGGTCTTGGTATGTAGTCCATGCTGGCCTTGAACTCCTTGTGTAGCTCAGGCTAACTTTGAATTGGTGATCTTCTGCCTCAGCCTCCTAAGTGCTGGAATTATAGGCATATGTCACCATGTCTGACTCTTTTCCTTTTCTGTGTAGCTGATTGTATATTGCTGAGTCTTGGGAGAAGGTAGGTATGTTTGGAAGCCTACCAGTCAGTCAGTTCTAACACTTTCTAGACTGATTCCCCACCGCCTTTTTTTTGCAGTGCTAAGGATCAAACCGAGCACTTCACACATGCTAGACAAGCACTCTACCACTTAACTGCTCTCCAGCGCTCAAACTGACATAACTTTAATCCAGTAGAGTAGAACATAGTTTCTTACCAGTTGCTATAGGATTGTAGGTGATGACTAAGCTCAGCCAAACTGCAAATTCTTTAACAGTTACTAACTGAAATGTCAGATATCTTTATAAATGAATTTCAGACTTTGTCATATCTTTTTATTTAAAATAACTTAATCTTACCTGTGTTTTTATTCATATACGAAGACTAAAATTATATAGGCAAATTATTATTGGCTAATAATCATTGGCTATCTGAACACATAACCAAATGTATTAAATGAAGGAAAGAAAGTTGGATTTTATGAGTTGTTCTTCATGCCATGTTGACGTAGATCACTGAACAAAATTATTTTCCCTCCATATAAGTTCAAATCATTTTATTTTTAGTATTATATATAATCAGAAATATCTTTATAGTGTTAACTTGGATACTTTGTTAGTCTAGTGATACTATAAACATCAGATCTTTCTTTTAAATTTTCAGGCACAAAAATCTCAAACCAAGAAATGCTGGACAAGGACAGGTTCCATCTTTAAGTCAACAACAGCAAGTACTTCCAAAGCACAAGACCAATGAGAAACAAGAAAAGAGTGAAAAACCACAGAAACGCCCCTTGACTCCTTTTCATCATCGTGTATCTATTAGTGATGATGTTGGCATGGATGCAGATTCAGCTAGCCAAAGACTTGTGATCTCTGCTCCTGATAGTCAAGTGAGATTTTCAAACCTCCGAACTAATGATGTAGCAAAGACTCCTCAGATGCATGGCACTGAAATGTCAAACTCACCTCAGCCACCCCCACTTAGTCCTCACCCATGTGATGTGGCTGATGAAGGAGTGACCAAAACACCTTCAACTCCTCAGAGTCAGCATTTTTATCACATGCCCACACCGGATCCCTTGGTTCCTACCAAACCAATGGAAGATAGGATAGATAGTTTGTCCCAGTCTTTTCCACCTCAGTTCCAGGAAACCGTAGAACCTACAGTGTATGTTGGTACAGCAGTAAACCTGGAAGAAGATGAAGCTAATACAGCCTGGAAGTATTACAAGGTCCCAAAGAAAAAGGATGTCGAGTTTTTACCGCCTCAGCTTCCAGGTGATAAATTCAAGGATGATCCAGTTGGACCTTTTGGACAGGAAAGTGTAACATCAGTTACAGAGTATGTATTTTTTTTTTCTTAGTAGTCACTAAACTAAGGGTAGAAGTGATATAAGTTCTTTTTTTTTTTTTTGGTTTTTCTCCGGTACCGGGAACTGAACTCACGACCTTGCGCTTGCCAGGCAGGCGCTTTGCCGCTGAGCTAAATCCCCAGCCCCGATATAAGTTCTTATTAGTAGGATTCCAGGATTAATTTCAGGATAGAATTTATAATAATCTTTGAGTATTTGTGTAATTTTTTACTGTGTTTTTTCTTTTTCTTTTTTTTTTTTCCAGTACTGGGAATCGAACTCACGACCTTGCGCTGTGCCGCTGAGCTAAATCCCCAGCTCCTTTTTTTTTTTTTTTTTTGTCTTTTTTGAGACAGGGTCTTGCTGTGCAGTTCAGGCTGGCCTTGAGCTCATTTTGTGGCCCAGGCTGGTCTTGAGCTCATAACAATCCTCCTGCTTCAGCCTCCCAAGTGCTGGGATTACAGGTGTGTGCTACCATGCCCTGCCTACTGTGTTTTTTCTAAGGGAACTTTAATGAAATATTTATCCACTAAGAAGTGGAGAAAATACTATATAAACACTTATGTGTCCATCATTCAGCCGATCTTGCACACAGAGCTCCTGTGTACTGTTTTTCTTCAACTTTTTTCCCACTGTCCTGAATTTGGTCCTTATCATTTCTATACATGTCTTGATATGTGTAGCTCTGGTTAATTCAGTGTAATTGCTTTATGGTATTTGTTTGGTTATGGCTATACCATAATTTATTAACTCTCTCAAAGATGGATATGTTGATAATTTTTCACAACAAAAAATGTACCAGTGAACCTTTTTGTACAAATTTCCTTATTTGCATAAGAGTTTCTGTAGGAAACATCTAAAAGTAGAATTGGTGAGCTAGAAAGTATGTCCATTTTCAGCATTAAGGGTTGTTGCAAGTTTGCTTTCCAAACTGGTATACAGAGTTTATACTCTTGTGAACCAGCAAAGTATGAGATTGGCTGTTACTTTCTTCAATACCTGGTGTTATGAGACTGTTAATTTGGCTGCATATAGAATGGTATCTTATTGTCTTAATAAATGTTTTCTAAAGTTCTGGTGAGGTTAAATATAATTTAAAATGTTTATTGAACATTTAGATTTCCTGAATTGCATGTTCATATTTTTGCCCTTTTTTCTTTTTTTTTTCATTTCTGATTTATTCTTTAAATATTCTGGCATCAATCCTTTATTGCCAGGGGCTGGGGATTTAGCTCAGCGGCAAAGCGCCTGCCTGGCAAGCGCAAGGTCGTGAGTTCGGTTCCCGGTACTGGAGAAAAACCAAACCCCCCCCCCCAAAAAAAAAAATCCTTTATTGCCTACGTGTGCTATCCATTCTTCCATCTGACTTACTTTCTTTGTTCTCTATATTTATGGTGTACTTTGGGCAGAAAGTCACTTTTATCATGTCTCCCTTTACATTTCATGTTACTTTGAATATATTTAGAGCCTATCTAACAAGGCTTTTGAATTTTCTTTTTAAAATTTTATATATATATATATTTTCTTTATAAGTTTCCCTAAAAGGTGAAAATCAGCTAACAAAGCAGCTCTATATTCTGTAGAACTGTCTGTCTGCCTAGTTATGAGACCAAGGGCGGGGCTGGGGATTCAGCTCAGCAGCACAGCGCCTGCCCGGCAAGCGCAAGGCTGTGAGTTCGATCCCCAGTACCAGAAAAAAAAGCAAAAAAAAAAAAAAAAACAAAACAGACCAAGGGCAAGTAGTGTGTAAAGATTTATATTTCCTTTCCATCTCAGTCCATTTTCAGTGAACTAATTTTCTATTGCTTAAACGCTGCTCAAAGGTTACATGATGTTTTAGACTTTATTAGTTGGTTAAAATGTCACATTTCTTTATTTGTATATATCGTCCATTAATAAATTATAGGTACAGCTTTTCTTGCATATTCTGTTAGCGTTGTTAGTAATGTTGATCAGCTGCTTTCCAGACTTGATGCTGGGATTATAGTCGTGCACCACCATGCCCAGCCCTAGACTTGTTTTCTAGCTCTCTAGGATTTCATTTCAGTAGATTCCTAAGTTACCACTTTGGTAGAGCCAGTGGCTTCTTTTTGGTTTTGTGCTTATTTTGTTGGCAGATGTCTTTACTCTCTTGGAGATTGTGAAGAGTGCTTACCTAGCATGTGCAGGATCCTATGTTCATTTCCCAGTGCCATTTTTTAAAAAATCCCCTATTTGTTTAATATTTTGTGATTTTGTTGTTGTTGTTGTTATAGAATTATTTCGATCTTTTTTACTTTGCTTATCATATTTATAATAATTATTTGTTTACATATATTTTAGAATGAGAGAATCAATTAGGAATTTGGTGTATGTAGGCTCAGCTTGTTTACTGGCACTCCTTGTTCACTCATTATTTTAGTGAATATTTTATGTGTGTATGTATGTATGTGTATATTTATTAGAGACAGGGTCTATGTAGTTCATGCTTGACTTGAACTCCTCATGGAGCTCAGGCTGGCCTCGAACTCAAGGCAGTCGTCCTGTTTCATCCTCCTAAGTGCTGGGATTACAGGCATGTGCCACCAAGTCCGTCTGTGAATAGTACATGTTTGTGTCAGACACTGCTTTATTGAGATGAAATTTTTGGAGAGTGTGTGTGGGGGGGGGGAGGATTATCCCTAAAATTAAAGAATGAAAAAGATACTAAATCCCTGTTTTTATGTTGGTTTTCCTTAAAATGGATTGCTTCCTACCCTCCTCTTTCTGTAACTTTTTTTTTTTTTTTTTTTTTTTTTGAGGCAGGGTCTCACTGTGCAGTTCAGGCTGGCCTTGAGCTCACATTGTAGCCCAGGCTGGTCTCGAACTCATAACAATCCTCCTGTCTCAGCATCCTGAGTGCTGGGATTACAGGTGTGCACCATCACTCCCGTCCTCTTTTTTTTCATTTTTGTCTAGATATGTAAGCCCAGCTTTTCTGATTTTTCCAGGCTCTGTGAGTCTCCTATTGTTTGACAGTTTGCCTGTAGCTCCCACTTGCATATTTTAAGCTATTAACTTTTGCTGGTATATTTCAACTGAGTTTGATCTTCTATAAGATTTAGTGAAATGTCTGATCCATTTATAGTCTGTCTCATTTTCAGTAGTTCTAGAGATTTTTTTTCTCTTAAAATTCCTGTATTCTCATTTTAGCAGGAAAATCCTTGTGCTTCATCTATAGTTGTACTTTTACTCTATAAAGATTGTAGTATAATTTGATTGTTAATTAAAATCTGGATTTTAAATTGGACTGCAGAATACTTTCTGAGCATGGAAGACAAAGAGCTTGTTTAATGATCAGTGGATTTCTTGAAAGCAAATGATGTCTTGGCAGCAGGACGTTAAAGAACTTAATCTTTCTGTGCTAAATGTAATATAAAAGTGTAAGCCAACCGCATATCATCACTGAAACTATTAGTGCTTCTCTACAAGTCTGTCTACACAGCAGCCAAAGTGATCATTGTGAGATACATATTGCTACTCGTTTGCTAAATCCCTACTTATTTGTAGTAATTTATTTCCCTTTACCCTCAGAATAAAATCCCTTTTTCTCTTATGTAAGACAGTAAATCTGTGCCTACCTAGGATCTTCACCCTAATCTGTTACTATCCTGTTAGCATCCTAATTTAGCCACATCAACCTTCTCACTGGTTCTTCAAAAAGCCGAGTTTGTGTCTCACGGGCTTTAGATTCACATTGCAGAGAGCAGGGAAACTGCTTACTCTTTACCATTCAATACTGTTCAGAAGTTACCTCAGCAGGGGAATTTTCCTGTCCAAATTCTCTTTTATCTCTCAAATCATTGTCTTCTGTACTATTTTAAAATTGCTCCATATATATCTCATTATCTGAAATTACGTATTTGTTAATAGTCTTTTCCTTATTAGAATATAAGCTTGCTGGGTGTGGTGGTGCATGCCTGCAATCCCAGCCCTCATGAGGCTGAGAGGCTGGAAAGTCACTGTGAGTTCAAGACCAGCCTGGAAAACATAATGAAACCCTATGTCAAACAAACAAACAAAAAGAATGTAAGCCCCATGAGGGCAAAGACTCTCCTGTTTACTGCTATATTACACACACATTACATCTCTAGAATAATCATAGGCACATAGTAGAAATTGAATAAATGTTTGGATGAATATAATGGCAGTATTATCTTAAAATACTGTTTTAAAACTTGCTTTCTTAATGTGTGTAAAAATATGGAGCTATAAATATATTTGGTTTTAAAAATTTCAGAGTGAGTTTTTGTGGGCACACTGTGTTCATGAGCTCTAAGAATTCTAGCCATAGCTTTAAATAAATGTATTGGCTGCTTAACCTTATTTATTTTATTATACAACCTAACTTTCGACTCTGTTCTAAAATTATTTGACATTTTTCTCACTGAATAAGAATGAGAAAGAAGCATAATACAGAAAAGTAGCTTGTAGAGTAGAGTGGTGCTGAGTCATGATTATATAACTTAAGGAAATAAAATGCAGCTACTTCTGCCCATCCCTGGCCACTGTTTCTTTTTCCCTCATGGGAAAGAAAGAACCATGATTGAATAAAAGGTTTTTAAATTTTTTGTGTAATTCTGTGTTTCATATAAGCGTTGATTTGGTTTGCTGTTACTAAGATTTGTATTGTGACAGAATTCACTTTTATGTATAAATCTTGGTTATTTTATTTTATTTTATTTTATATTTTTGGGTACTGGGAATTGAACTCAGGACCTCACACTTGCCAGGCAAGCGCTGTGCTGCTGAGCTATAGCCCCAGCCCTAAACTTTGTTTCTACAGGATAATAGAAATTTAAGTATCACCAAAGATCACCTATTAGAGGTTTAGCACCTATATGACTGAAGAGACATTTATGGAATATATTACAGTAGTTCTGTAGTTGGAAGGGTAGAAGTTTGTTTTCTTTTTTTTTTCTTCTCAAGACAGTGTCTTGTAATGTAGTTCACACTGGCCTTGAAGTCATAG